CAATGGCGAGCAGTATAATGGTCTTCTGTTGATATGTATTTTAGTAGTTAAATGCCTGGATTGTCATTGCTCATTAAAAGTGCTGTCATATGGGTGGAAATCAGGTAAATACTGATTTTATTAATATCAAGAGAACTGACTTACATGGGGCCTGCATGTTCTGTAGTCTTGTCTTAATCTTTGTATTCATGCCCATCAGTGTGAAATAACATATTTGCATATATATATTTGCATGTATATGCAACCACACAAAGTTGCAGCCCTCAGTATGTGCAGTATCACTGTGGCCCCTGGGGCTTCCAAAATTGAGTAGCCCTGCGATAAGCTTTTGCTTATCAGAAGGTCAACTAGTTGATTAGTCGCTTACACCCCTATTTATAATTTAACTTTAGAGAGGGAACAAAATGTTGAAACAATTTGGATAAAGATCACACCTGTCATAACTTGTAAGACATCAGAAATAAAAGGCGAAAGATGTATGCGATCTGAAGAGAAACCAGAGTTAGTACACTAAAGAGTAAGATCATTACACCTTGGGCTAGATACTAATGAAACATGTATTATGTACATTCATTTTGACATTTAATTATTCTGCAGTTAAATGTGTCTCTCTTATTTTGGCATACACTGGGAGAGCTATAGAGGCAGATCATCTAGACCCAAGGAAAGGAACAGCAGCATGTTGCTCTTCTCCTTAATAAATGACACGCTGCTTCTGCAATGTTCCAAATCCCTATCAACCTAAGGAACAAGGGACCAATACCCAGACCTAAATCTCACTCTTTCTGAGTCTAGACTATTGACAATTTGCTCTTTGTTGAAGTGTCTTAGACTTCTAAACTTCTATTATTTCATTTAGCTAGATTTGAGTTCTCTAAACTTTTTTTTATTATTTCTAGTATAATTATGATTTTTTTCCAAAGTAGAATTATTCACTGGAATAATTATAATGTTAAATAAATATTTATTTGATATCCTCTGATCCAAAGTAATGGTCGTAAGGTTTAGCCCATTTTTAAAATTAAGATATGTTTACATAATCTTTAAAATAGTCAATCATACTACTATAATATGGAAGACATCAAAACTGCTTCATCATACAGAAACCTTGTCCTGTTGGTTTCTTTAGGGTGGTGTTGTCTGAAAAACCATTTAGATCAAGTACAGATGTTAAATTGAGGTTATTTTAGTAACTGAATAGTCGATAAAAATTCTATTGACTACTCGATAGGGGAAGGCAGCCCCACTCTGTTCCAGCTCACAAGCTGGGACCAAACCTCACTGCAGCTCTGCAATTTAAAAGGCAGTAGGAGCTGGGCAGCCTGCTCCCCAGCTCCTACTATGTTTTAAATTGCAGAGCCACAGTAGGATTTGGTCCCTGACCTGGCGTGAGCAGAGATTGAGTTGGGCTGCCTGACCACCAGGCTCCTACTAAATTTAGGAGCTGAGAGGGCAGACAGCCCACCTCAGTCCCTGCTCGCACCAGGTCAGGGACCAAACCCTGCCGTGGCTCTGCAATTTAAAACATAGTAAGAGCCATGGAAGGAGAGGGCGGGGGAGGCCAGACTGCCCAGCTCCTGCTGCCTTTAAATTGCAGAGCCTCAGTGGGGTTTGGTCCCAGTGCAAGCCATAGCAGCCCATTTCTGCTGGGTCACAGGTCCCTGCTGGGACCCCTGAAGGCAGGGGCTGCTGCACACGAAGCCTCCCCTACCCCCACTGCCTCTGATTGGGGGTGGAGAGTAGAGACAGTGCTCCAGGTAACAGGGTTTTAAGGGGAGGCTCTTGCTTCCTTCCCTTGCGGTCTCTGACATAGAGGCAGCGGGGGGTGGAGGGGAATACAAGTAGTCATTTAATCAACTACTCTCTTACAACTCTAATATCAAGTAATGTGAACATTAGAAATGTAGCTATCAAAATTGCCTCTAAGAATGACACCAAATCTGGGGGTGAAAGTTAAAGAGTCCATTTGTAAGTGAACAGTCATCAACAGACACACACAAAAATCACATGCATTTCCTTAAATTAAAGTGCTACATTTTTATCATGATTTAGTGATGTTCCAACTCAAAAAACTCACACAACTAAATCACAGCCCAAACACATAAACGAACACCAGGATAAAACACTGCAACTAATTTCTCATAACTTTTTGTTTGTCTTTACTGCTGCAGAAGGGAGGGAGAAGGAAGGAATCCCAGCAGCTCTAGCTCACTTGTTCAATGTTCATTAGTCTAGCTGTTTATCTCATTTCTGTTAATGAATACCGTAATGAGAAAAGTCTGCACTTAACTCATAACAAAATAAAACATAAAAATGGACAATTAATTGGTTTTTACCAAAGTATCATGAAATGACTCCATTTTACACAAATTGAATCCATTTGTCAGACGTAATGAACTACCTAAAGTGATAGGGAATAGCCAGCATGGGGTTGTGAAGAACAAGTCATGCCAAACTAATCTGATAGCTTTCTTTGATAGGATAACGAGCCTTGTGGATAAGGGAGAAGCGGTGGATGTCATATACCTAGACTTTAGTAAGGCATTTGATACGGTCTCGCATGATATTCTTATTGATAAACTAGGCAAATATAACTTAGATAGGGCCACGATAAGGTGGGTGCATAATTGGCTGGATAACCTTAGTCAGAGAGTTGTTAACGGTGCTAAATCCTGCTGGAAAGGGATAACAAGTGGAGTTCCGAAAGGGTCTGTTTTGGGACCCGTACTGTTCAATATCTTCATCAATCATGTAGATATTGGGATAGAGAGTATGCTTATTAAGTTTGCAGATGATACCAAACTGGGTGGGGTTGCAACTTCTTTGGAGGATAGGGACATAATTCAAAATGACCTTAGCAAGTTAGAGAAATGGTCAGAGGTAAACAGGATGAAGTTTAATAAAGAGAAATGCAAAGTGCTCTACTTAGGAAGGAACAATCAGTTCCATACATACAAGATGGGAAACGACTGTCTAGGAAGGAGCATGGCGGAAAGGGATCTAGGGGTCAAGTTGAATATGAGTCAACAGTGTGATGCTGCTGCAAAAAAAGCAAATATGATTCTAGGTTGTATCAGCAGGTGTGTTGTAAGCAAAACTCGTGAAGTCATTCTGCCGCTCTACTCTGCACTAGTTAGGCCTCAGCTGGAGTACTGTGTCCAGTTCTGGGCGCCACATTTCAAGAAAGATGTGGAGAAATTGGAAAGGGTAGAGAGAAGAGCAACAAAAATGATTAAAGGTCTAGAGAACATGACCTATGAAGCCAGGCTTCATGAACTGGGCTTGTTTAGTTTGGAAAAAAGAAGATTAAGAGGGGACATGATAGCGGTTTTCAAATATCTAAAAGGGTGTCACAAGGAGGAAGGAGAAAATTTGTTCCTCTTGGTTTCTGAGGACAGGACAAGGAATAATGGGCTTAAAGTGCAGCAGGGGAGGTTTAGATTGGACATTAGGAAAAAATTCCTAACTGTCAGGGTGGTCAAATATTGGAATAAATTGCCAAGGGAGGTGGTGGAATCTCCCTCTCTGGAGATATTTAAGAACAGGTTAGATAGACATCTGTCAGGGATGGTGTAGACGGAGCTTAGTCCTGCCTTGAGGGCGGGGGGCTGGACTCGATGACCTCTCGAGGTCCCTTCCAGTCCTATGATTCTATGATTCTACAGATGCTGAAGCCTTTTAAATATAACAAGGAATGTTATATGGGGTAAATTTGAAAATAGTCAAAACTATTCAGGCTTCTAGCATATTCAAACAAATACAGGCATGAACCTACTCAAATACTATAACTGTTCCCCCTCCCCTCATTTACAGGGATCTAAGGATGTTAAGTATAGGGTAACTGACTAAGGATGTTAAGTATAGGGTAACTGACTAATCAAATAGTTGCTGCATTTTTGCCTCTGCCTTTGAAATGTAGCAAAGCCCTGTTGCTACACTTCAATGGCAAAAGTAGGCCCATCCAGGGTCAGATGGTGAGTCCCCATCTGATCCTGGGCTCCATGCAGCGCTGCCGCTTTGAAATGTGGGGAGGAGCCTGACCCCAGGCTCCCTGCGGCATTCAAAGAGATAGTGCCACACAGAGCAGCTTACCACAGGCTCCATGAAGCACTACCACTTTGAAGTATCCTCTTCTTCCTCTGCCCCTTGCTGCCGCTATCTGACAGAGGCAGCAAGTTGGGGGGGAGGGGGAGACGACTAAATGCTTATCGGATAGTCGACTAGTCCTTCACATTCCTACTGGGAACATAAGCTGGATCCTTCCGTTAACTCTGTGTGTCAATGCATATAATATATTCTGGTGAACCAACAATACTTTTTCAGTGTTTCACTGAATTTAAAATTATTTGATGGACTGACAACTTAAAGTATGAATATCATAAAAACATTCGTTACACACACTGTCAAACATCCATTGTTAGGAAACTTTTATCTGAAAAGCCTTATCTGAAAGGTGGGTGATTTGTATCAAGACAGGCAACTATGCCAATCTCAGTGGAAAGAGGAAGTGACCAAAATAAAGAAAAGACCCGGGAGCATGGAGACAACCCGGAAAGGTCACCAGTTCTTTGAACTCTGTTAAAAAGTCACATCATTTTGGTACTTCTCCAAGAATGTTTCCGTACACGGAGTCCGAAGCCAGCTTGGAGGCCCTTTGCCAAAAGGTCTAGAATAAATAACGCGAGAGCCCATGCAAGCGAGAAGGCTTTCAAGGCTGTCCGGGTAGGGACAGCTGCCCAGACCCGCCCCCTCCTGTGGTCGCTGGAAGGCGTTTCAAATGGTCGGTGCCAGGCAGGGAGGGGCACGAGTCCGGGTCCTAGAGCCAGGGGAGAGGTCGCACTGACGTGTCGCCAGCCTGGTCGCTGGTCTCTTCCCCCGCCCTGCGCCCGCCCTGCGCCTGTCTCCGTCCGTCCCCCAGGCAGCGACTGGCGCTTTCGCGGCCCGCTCGCCTCGCGCCTCTGCCCCCCGCCCCACGGACACCGCGGCAGGACGCGGCTCACCAGTCGCTAGA